GAAACCATTCTCATATGATCCTTTACCTATATATATATATATATATATATATATATGTGTGTGTTTAATGATGGTGTACTGTGGTGAAAGAAAGTCATTTTAGGAAAATTTTACCATTATTTACGAGTTTTTAATTTTGTGCATTTTCACGTGTAAAGTTGTACACGAACTTTTGGTCGTTTTTACTTTTCGTCTCAAACTAAAGTTTTATCAAAGTTTGTTTTATTCATAAAATAGTGGTGTAGTACTGTGGTGTAAGTGAATTTTTTAGAGGCTTTTTAACCATTGTTGACAAGTTTTTTATTTTATTTTATTTTATTTATTTATTTTTTTTTTTTTTTATATTTTGGATTTTCGCATGTAAAGTTGTACACGGAATTTTGGTTTCCTTTTATCTAAAAACTCAATTTTTAATATCAAAGTTTCTTATATACATAAAACGGAGGGGTGCTGTGGTGAAAGAATATTTTAGGGGTTTAAATCAAAATCATAATGTAAGGTGTATCCTCCCTTGTTCTGGTCATGGAACTGATGAAATGAATAAAAAATGGAGGTTAGAACCTACTGATGTTTCAACGGACTTAAAAAATGAAACTATAAAGGACCATTTTTTCAAACATTTGAGACCAAATTGCAACACGGTCAATCGTGTGGAACTAAATGAATAGTTTCCTCCTTTTCAAACTAACAACTAAAAGCGCATGCGATAGACCGGTTAATTTTGACAGGCCTAGTACTGGGAGTGACCATGGGCCGGTACCTGTTTGTAGATTGATAAATCTTCAAAATCGAATTTAAATTCAAAGATCACTAAAATTCAATCTCTTGAATCGTATAAAAAAAATCAAGATGGTTTTGTTCGGAACTACGTAGATTTCTAATTTTTTTTAATGACTATCTAGTTATATTTAAATTTTGATAGACTTTTTTTTTTAAAAAAAAAAAAATCAACATTCATTAATAATTCACTATATTAAAGATTTTACCAAGAAAGCAACTTTGTAAGTTACTCAAAATTTTAGTTAAAGACAATATTTGTGCAACTAATAAAGGAAATTTCACATTCAAACAAAATATAATAATGTTTTTTTTTTAAATGTTTCTTTAGCGTTTCATGCCATTTTAATCATAAGATAGAATAAGACAAAGAAAAGTATCAACAAATATAATATCAATCATATTTTAAAACAAAAAAAGAAAAAAAAATCTAATTGTAGATCAATCACTATTAAGCATTCCTTAATTGAATGCACGAAGTCACTTGCACAATCACGAAGAAGCTAGCGAGGCCTTGTTGCTCGTCTCATTCCATGTCAACTTGGTTGTTTGACTCGGAAGATTCATGAAGAAGATTGGCCAACAGATGCCTCAAGTTCTCGTGCATGGAATTGTCGCTTGGGATACTAACGGATCCACTCATGGTACCCATAAACAAAACCAACAAAAAGAGATTACGAGCACCAAATAAACAAAAGAGAGAAATAAGCCAAAAACAACTACAACCACGAAAGATCAAATAACAACTAGACAAAGCAAAAGAAACAAAAAAAATAAAAAAAAAAACATGAAAACAAAATGAATAGGCGCACAAAATAAGTCCTAAACCTTCCCCGGTGCCGCCATTTTGTTATAAAAAAAATTTCCAGAGTTAAATCAAAAGATTCAATCCCCAAATCCTTAGCTTCTTTAAAAATATCCGTAACTTGTTCAAAGGTTGAAAATTGAGTTTTGCTTTGTTTGGATTCATTAGCTGCTAAACAAAATCCCAACCATTTTGATTAGTGTTTAGAATTTATTTTATTTTCTTGTGCTTGAATAATCATACAATATAATCCGTCTAACCTTTCTTGTGATACGACCCGGGGATTAAATTTTTCGATTTAACTCCACTAAAAATTTCTACAAGAGGAGTAACTATGGGCCAATACAGTTTGGAGATTGGGAAATCTCCAAATTCAGAAATACAGAGATCACTACAACTCAGCCTTAGGAATTGTACAAAAAGTCAGGACGGTTCTGTTCGGAGCTACGGAGTTTTGTAATATTTTTTATTTCTATTTTTTTTTTAATGACTATCTAGTTATATTTAAATTTTGATATGTTTTTTTTTAAAAAAATCAACATTTTTTTTTAAAAAATATCGACATTCATCAATAACTCATCATATTAAAAATTTTATTTTAAAAGCAACTTTGTAAGTAACTCAATTTTTAGATAAGACCAAATTTGTGCAAATAATAAAGAAAATTTGAAATTCAAACAAAATATAATATATATATAAAAAATTCTTTAACCTTTCATACCATTTAACTATAACATATAATAAGACAAAAAAGAGTATCACCAAATATAATATAAATAATATTTTAAAATAAAAAAAAAATCCAATTGTAGATTAATTACTATTAAGCATTAATTCAAGTGAAGTTAAATTATTATTACTATATGTTATTTATTATTTTAAAAGTACTCGAAATTATAGTATTTAAAGTTGACATAAAATATATGAACATCACACATCTGAATTTATAATTCGGTTCTAATTTCATTTTTTCGGTTCAATATGGTATGAGATGGTTCTATTCAGTTCTCGGTATGAATAATCGTGAAATTTTCAAAACTATACTAATTATTTTTTTTTTATTGGGTTCGATCCGTACAAAGTCAAATGGTCAATGGTTTGCAATTCCGGCAGCAGTTTTAACATAAAGTTTATATACCAGCGGTCACAAAGAAATATAATACAAGTTGATGCAGCATCTCAGACAAACTCAGTTACACAAAAAGCTGAGTTAAGTGATTTGCTTACTAATGTGAGTGCATAGAAACCTCCTTTTTATACACTTTCTTCCTTAGGCTTCACACATACATCTACCGGATGCCTAAAATCAACCCTCTTGTTTGTTTGTTTGTTTTTTTTTTTGATTTTTTTTTTTCTAAACATTGATGCTGCTTAATTTACACATTATACATGAGGTTTTCGGCAATCTTCACAACTCAAATAAGATAATTGTATATGAACAAGCTATCATCTGATACTAAAAGCGGCAGCTTGTCGATGTACGAGTAAAGTCGTGTTAGATTGTCTTTAGCAAGAGTGAAAGCATCCACCACATCCGAGTTGCTAGTCAAAACCCATAAATCCGATGATGCCACCCGTTTTAGGCTGCCTCGACAAAAAGGGCACGACCGTGATCTAACATACCTAAAGCAACAAATATACGTCAAAACGGAATTCAAGTAAAAAGAGAAAAACATCACTATTGTTAACTTGTTACAGCTATTGTCATTATCATTATTCTTACTAGGCGATAGAATGAAGCTTATTACCATTCATTGAAACAGCTAATGCACATAGAGTGGCCACAAATTGGCAATGCCACTTTGGTGTTCATTTCCATACATATCCCACATTCGTCCTCTGTTTCCTCTGAATCTCTACAACTCGTTTTATTATGCTCAGGATCATCACATTTTTTCGGTCCTTTAAGCTTCTCTTCCATCAATTCTATCATATTCCCTTCAACTTGCTTCAGCATTGGATATATTATGCCTGTCGTCTCAAATAAGCCAGCGCGTATTTTCAAATTTTAAAAACGACCAAGTAGTTTTTCCGAACAATTTTTTTAGCACTGTTTTATTTGTACTGGGAAATTGCTAAGGTCCCATAACGGAACCATTCCTCCAAATAAACTTCCAATAACAAATTGACATATCAGCATTTGTTAACTATAACTAAGGGTCCCTATCATATTAAAAGATCCAAATATCAATATTGAAATAACGGAATCCTACCGTGAGGGGACTGTAGCCGTTCCCTGAAAGTAAAACTAAAAATTGAACGGGAAATAGAAAATTATTGCCCATTTGTATCAGTTTAAGAGAATTCGACGTTTGAAATCACGAAAAAACAACTAATTATTAATTTTTCTTTCAAACTTTAGGAGGATGTAGAAAGCAGGGGAATGAAATCAAGAGCGGGTCGACTGACGTACAATAGAATTCTCGAAGAGTAGCTTTCCTTTCTTCTGGGCGTGCTATCGGCATTCCGTCAACATATACCTATACAAAATTTGAAACAAACCTACAAGGAAGTTAGTGGTGATGAAAACACATGCACCTTGTTTGCATGCTGATAGTTCCGGAAAACCAAAATATAATCCCGTAACGGGATGGTTCCTTTATTGTTTAATCAATTAGATTACACCGTGTGTAGTCAATATTATACAACTTCGTTGTATCTAAAGGCTAATAATAATTGTGAATATCCAACCATCTAGAAAAAAAAATGAACGGAATCATACCGTCAATTATGATAAACTAAATTTAATGTTGTAATATCAGTAGGAAGTACCTTGTAGACAAGGATGTTAAAAACTCCTACAAAACTGAGAAAGGCATCCAAACAGCTGCAATCCATCCATTCTAACAGACACACCAAAAATGGAGCTAATGGGCTTACAGATAGCTTTATTTGTACACAATCTCCAGCTATCTCTGTTGGAAGACCACCCATCCTACACAAATCCACTTAGCTTTATAGCTCTCAATAAAATCCATTATTTTTTAGCAACACTCCAATCACTCATTCATTCAATATTATGCAACACCACAAACACATATCAAAGGTTTAATTTGCTTATTATTTAATATCTTACCAACCCCCCCTTCATTTTAATTATTAATTTGCATTCAAGAAAACATAATTCCATTGAAAATAATTCCCTTTATTATTATTATTATTATTATTATTATTATTATTATTATTATTATTATTATTATTATTATTATTATTATTATTTGCTTTTTCTATTCATTTGTAAGACTTACAAGTTGTTGGCATGATGAATATCAGCTTCAAGGGCTTTGATAGATTCTGTCAAAGAAGATCTTCTTAACCGCCTTTGCCACATTTGATTTTCTCCACAAACTTCTCAAAGTATACTTTACAAAGGGTAGGAAGAAAAAGAAAGGAGAGAAGGAATGAATGACAAAGGAACTTTTTGCACAAAATTAAGAATTTAAAGAGAAAGGGAGAGAGATTGCTTTGTGTTGAAAACTTGTCCCATATATAGTTGAAGTAAAGAAGAAAAGGATATCATTGCTTGTCTCCATTACCTTAATTTAATACATATTTTTGCTTAGCATCATGCATTTCTTGGCTGCTAATTGTTGCCAACAATTTGGCTTCATTTCTTTGACTTAAGCACTTTATCTTCAATTTACCATAATGACATCAAAGGACAAGGATGGGCAACAATCATTTGGGAGTTGGGAGTTGGGACAATGTCTTAGTCAACTTGATTTTTGGTTGGTTCAGCTTCTTTTATGTTATCTATTGATTATCAATATAATTACTAAATTAAAAAAAGAAAAAATAAATTTCTAAGTGTTTGAAAGCAAAAATTAAATGACTAAATTGGAAATTGGTTTTTTAATAGTCATGGAAGGAGAGAGGGGTGCATATTCATGAGAGACTAGTTTTTAAACAGTGTATTTGCACGAAAAGCTATATGATAGAATAAATTTTAATATAATTATCATTTTTGGTTCTTTCGTGTCAGTTGGCACGTCCCTGTCTACTCTTTTGAATTTTTTAGTTTTTGATATAATAATCGTTTCAAAAAAAAAAAAGTTTGTTAAAACACAAATTGAGGCAGAAAACAAATTGAGGTCTAATAAGTGATTTATTTTATATAGCTTGCACGTGTTTCTCGTGGCTAAATTTCATTTTTAGTATATTATGTTGGCCATTTTATGAAAATGGTCCATCATATAGGCCGTCTTCAAGAATGTTCCACTAAATTGTCATTTTAATTAAAACTAGTACAAAAGCCAACATATTGTACTAAATATGACAACTAAAAATGATCACTTTTAGTACACTATGTTGGTTATTGTACGAATTTCGATTAAATTAGCAACTTAGTGGACCATTTTTTACGACGCCCTAGATGGACCTTTTTCGAATAAAGACCAACATGGTGGACCAGTTTTGAAAATTTTCCGGTTTCTCGGGGTTTAATAGTTGGTTAATGTTTGAATAATATTTGTGATTTTTTTTTATGTGGTTTAATCTTGAGCATATTATTATAACTTATACTAGTTAAAAAGTGAAAATCTGGACGTTCGCCTCTCTGGTGCTGCGGTGGTGTTTGGCGGAGTGCGGCCTCGGTGATTAGGAGTGGCGCGGGTGGCTTGCATTGTTCGCGACGGGGCCGCCTAGGCTCAGGAGCTTCATCAAATCACTTTTCCCCTTGGATTCTGGTGTGGGGTCCGATCGAGGGTGGTGCACGTCCTCGACTAGTGGTGTTAGACAGGGTCAAAGTAGTCATGGTGTGGGGGCGAGATTGGATATCCTTCCGCAGAGGTCCGGTTGGTTTTCGGATTGTAGTTGGTTTTTGTTAGTGTTGTAGCAGCGTTGGTTTAGCGTTGCTAAGGGATCTATAGGCGATCTCCGAATCTGTCCTCTCAGTTTTAAACTCTTAGTTGTAATCATTCAGCTTTGGGTTGCTTTCTTTTCGCACTTTTGTGTACTTTATAAAATTCCTATGGTTAGTTCTATGTAATTGCTAGGTTAGTTCTCTGTAGTTGCTAGGTTAGTTCTCTGTAGTTGATAGGTTAGTAGTTGCTAGGTTAGTTCTCTGTAGTTGCTAGGTTAGTTGTCTGAAGTTGCTAGGTTAGTTCTCTATAGTTGCTAGATTAGTAGTTGCTAGGTTAGTTGTCTGAAGTTGTTAGGTTAGTTCTCTGTAGTTGCTAGATTAGTTCTCTGTAGTTGCTAAGTTAGTTCTATGTAATTGCCAAGTTAGTGGTTGCTAGGTTAGTTCTCTGTAGTTGCTAGGTTAGTATTAGCTAGGTTAGTTGTCTGTAGTTGCTAGGTTAGTTGTCTGTAGTTGCTAGGTTAGTTGTCTGTAGTTGCTAAGAGCTGTCCGAATTTTAAGAGCTGGCCTCATATGATCCGCCCCCTATATATATATATATATATATATATAATTAGAATTATATAAGAAAGGAACATAGTGAAAGAAATTAGTATAAATCTGGATTATTGAATTCATCATATCATTGGTTAGGATTAAGTCAAACTCTGGTCAATCATTAATAGCATTATGGTAATTTAACACGTTGTGGTCAAATGTATATATTTGACCACTTAATAAGGGTAAAATTGACAATACACAAATTATTAAAACTCACCCACCCAGTGGGCCGCACCACCTTCAACATAATTAACCCTCATTATTTCTCTCTCTCTCTCTCTCTCTCTCTCTCTCTCTCTGACTCTCACACACACACAAACACACACAAAATCTGAAATTCTGCTTGTCGTTTCATACCACCGGAAATGAATTTAATTTAAACCCCATGATTTTGATTTTAATTTAAACCCATGATTTTGATACACCTTACACCATGATTATGATTTAAACCCCCTAAAATATTCTTTCACCGCAGTACACCACCGTTTTATGTATATAAAAAACTTTGATATTAAAAAATTGAGTTTTTAGATAAAAAGAAACCAAAATGTCGTGTACAACTTTACATGCGGAAATGCAAAAAATTAAAAAAATAATAATAAAAGAACACTTGTCAACAGTGGTAAAAAAGCCTTTACAAAATTCACTTACACCATAGTACTACACCACTATTTTCTGTATAAGACAAACTTTGATAAAACTTTAGTTTGAGACGAAAAGTAAAAACGACCAAAAGTTCGTGTACAACTTTACACGTGATGCAAAAAATTAAAAACTTGAAAATAATGGTAAAATTCCCTTAAATAACTTTCTTCACCGCAATACACCATCATTATATATATATATATAGTTAGGATCATATGAGAAAGGAAGATAGTGAAAGAAATGAGTATAAATCTGGATCATTGAATTCGTCATATCATTAGTTAGGATTAAGTCAAACTCTGACCAATCATTAATAGCATTATGGTATTTTAACAACACATTGTGGTCAAATGTATATATTTGACCACTTAATAAGGGTAAAATCGACAACACAAAAATTATTAAAACTCACCCACCTAGTGGGCCTCACCTCCAACATAATTAACCCTCATTATCTCTCTCTCTCTCTCTCTCTCTCTCTCTCTCTCTCTCTCTCTCTTTCACACACACACACACACACAAACACACACACAAAATCTGAAATTCTGCTTGTCGTTTCATACCACTGGAAAAAAGTCCTCTGCCACCTACTGCCATTTGCCGCCGTCCGACGCTACCCGTCGCCGCCCCTCGCCGCCCGCTACTACCCACCGCATCTCTCTTGCACCAAATATCTATTTTCTATGTTTCTCGTCGCTGCAAGAAAATCCAACTCTCCCGGCGTCGGCCGCGTCCTCCCCTACGAGCTTCGATGATATCGCGGCGACTCCGCAACCAGCTGTCGAACATATCGAGCTCGGCCGCTGCGGTTCCCCGGCCCTGCAACCGCGCCTCACAGCCCGACCGACGCTAGGCCATGACGCCGATTTTTTTTATTGCTTTTTCTTTTTTTTGGTACGACAAGGGTGGCAATGGCGGCGATTGGTGACGACGAGGACGGCAGCGGTGGCATTTGGTGACGACGAGGATGGCGACGGCGGTTTTTAGTGACGAGGACGGCGACAATGGCACGACTGAAAATGAGTGATAGCCTAATTTTTTTTTATTTTTTTATTTTTTTTGGGCTAGGTATGTTTTGTGGAAATTTGATAATTTTAGATGACTAGTTTGCAATTTCTACACTTTCAATATGTATACTTTTATTTATGTATAGCATCTTATAATTAAATGAAGATTAATTTATGCAAAATATGAAATATTAAATGCACAATATTGTGTGTAGGTGTGCACTTTAAAATATAATGTCATATGTATACAAATTAATAAAAATTATATAAATACGCTATTTTTTAGGATATGTGAATTTCACAAAATTATGTATAGTTATGCGTTTTAAAGGTAAAAAATAATAAAAATGAGATGTAAAAGTTCAAACTAAAAAATTCGACATAATCAATTAAATTTGTTGGTTAACACAAATAACCAAAATAAGCGATATAAATTATATATATTCATAAAGAGCATGATTAGTATTTAATATTTTTTTTTACATTTTATATTATTTTTTGATTAAACAATTTAGTATTTATGTGAACGAGATATACTGTGCAATATAACAATTATTAAAGTGCAATTTGTCCAACACTATGGTGCACGATGTTGGTCTATATTGTACATATTGCACGACCGATAGGTCTGTATTGTCCACCATCTTCTTTAGCCGCACAAATATGGCTCCAGTTTTTCATGGTCGGCTCGTCATCAACAATCTCATCTCCTCCGCAACGATTCCGGCGAGAGGACTGGATCAAGGGAGACGACAGTCAAAAGAGGTTGCAGTCACTATGACGTAACA